TTTTACGGGGTGGTTTGTCACCAAACCTGCAGAGGCTGTCTCTTATACACATACACACGCACACACACACACACAGAGAGAGAGAGAGAGAGAGAGAGAGAGAGAGAGAGAGAGAGGTAATGCTGCTTTGCTCGTTGGTGGAAGAGGTAAAAGCTGGCTAATGAACGGCGCAATCTACGGCGCAATCAACGGCGAGCCATTGAGGAGAATAAAGGTTGTGAGATTTGGTATGTATGGCCCTCTCTCCTGGATTATGGAGTGCGGAGTAGGAGGAAAAAAGAGATGGATAGTGTCATAGGAAAATGTGGAGAGAGGTGCAAGGAGGGAGGTTGAAGGGGTCTGATGGGTTAATGATTCGCAAAGCGATGATGTTGAGGAAAAGTGCGGAGTTGCTTGTTTATTGTTGTCGTCACGAGTCACGCACATCCTTATGGGAAGATGCGTGCGACCCCGTACCCTATTTTTACGTATTTTTTACCAGTAAATAAAATTTGCAATAGGAGTACATTATAGGGCATTGCACGGGCACGCTTAATGTTTTCTCTTCTCCCTACGTCGTTGATGCATGGTGCTCGTCGCGCGAATGAATCATCATGATGCTTTCTCTCCTTGTCGTTTGGAAGAGTGGAGAGTGGTGGGTGCTGTGGGATTTGAACACGTGTTCTCTCTCTCTCTCTCTCTCTTGCGATCTGTTCCTCCGAAGCAGACTGCGACTCCTTGGCGCCGTAAACTTTCCCCGCTTCGCTGCCAACGGACTGGGCACCTTGGCTACCGACCGATATGCTAGAGTCGTTGATCCTCTCTTCTTATCCTTTTAGCTTGCTGTTCGGATTTGCTTGCTCTATAGACGTCCACGTGTCAAAGACGGAATGATGGGACCGGCGGTTATTTGAGAATAGGTCAGAGTTCGTTGGAGTAGTAATGGGTCTGTCTGCTGTGAGTGATGTCAATCGTTGCCTTGGTCGAAGAGGCGGGAGGGGGAAGGAAAATCTTTGACAAGCAGCGAAGCAGCGAAGAGTAACCTGCTGTGCTGTCGACCGTTTGATTGGTGGAAGATGCGGTAGAGTCGGGGACGGAGGCCAGGAAGGAAGGTTTTGATAGAAGAAACGTAGTGACGAGTTTCACTGTGATATGACAATCGTTGGCTTCGTCGAAGAGGCGGGAGAGGGAAGTTCTTACGAGAAGAACAGGAGAAGATGAATGAGAGGAGGAGGGGGTAAGAAGAGAAGAGGTTGGTGTTTGATTCTTCCAATGCTGGGACGGAGTGGCCAGTGGTGTTTTTCTCTTGCCTTCGGTGAGCCTTCGGTGAGGGAGGAGCCGGGGGGAGTAGAGTTCCAGGCTCTGTGAAAATGTGCGTAATCCTTCTCGTCGAGAAACGAGGTTGACTTGTGTGTTTTTTCGCGTAAGGTTTCGATTATCAGACTCGTTTTTTTTTCGCTTGAGGTTTCGAGTATCGGAGTCTGGAAAGGGAGGAACGAGAGAGGGGATTCTCTTTTTGTTCCTGTGCGAACGGAGTGTTGCTCGCTCGCGTGTCTTTTGTATATCGCATGAGGTGGAGTGGATGGTAGCTTGGGGGGCGTTCGGTCGAGCCAGCCAGGTTCTGCTGCTGTTGTCACGCGTTAGACGAGTATTGTAGAAATAACGTTGTCGATATGCTGGATGATGTCGATGGAAGCAACAGCAGCAACAGCAGCAACAGTAGCAATAACGTCAGAAGCGATACAGCCGCTAGATTACGTGGAATGATCGGGTGCAGCGCATGATGGCGAGTGTTTGCTGGAGACGAGAAATGTACAAATCAATGTGGAGGGAGTTCTCTGGCAATTCGGCGAGATGCGTCTGTGCGGTTATGTAATTAACAAAATCGCGTTGTACTCTTTTGGGGGATATCTGTGCATCATTTGATCTTTTGTGACGTTGGCAGGCACGTGTACAGATTCCATCGGCGAGCGAATGGCAGAACGATGGTGGAGTGCTACATAGGGAGGAGAGAGAGGTTTGTGTGTGCAGGGGAGCGTCGTCGTGCTGGGGAGGTGATAAGTTGGGCGGTAGATTAAGGGCAGTGGAGAGTGTAATGGTATATATAGAGCGAATGCACGGAATTGCAATGGGGGTGGCTGCAGGTTTCGAGAGGAGATTGAGAAGAGATTTGAAGAGGAGAGGAGAGCGGAGGGGGAGCGTGGGTGGCTGTTGCAGTGTGCGATGATTTGTGAGTGGTGCCAGCGACATCCGTACTCTTTTCTTTCTCTTGTTCTGAAATGATGGCGGAGGGCTCTGAACGACGTTTGACTGGCGGAAAGGTGGGTGCGTGACGTAACCACTCCTCTGCTTTATCTGTGCTCTTTTTGCTCTATCTCTCTGACCGTAGAGTAGTGCACGTTTTCTCTAGTGTTTTGCTCTTTTCGGTGCATTTTTGTTGAACAAAGGGGCCACCAAAGGCAGCGGGTGGGTGCGCGTAGGAGGGGAGGGAGGGGTGCATTTTTGTGAACAAAGAGGCCATCGAAGGCGTGCGCGCAGGAACGGACAATGACTTGTGAACGTGCTTGTGTAGGAAACGTGGGATGGCCTCTCACAGGCGACCGTTGAGTAAGCCTCCCCTGTGCTGTCCGTCGTCCTCACATCATGCTCTTATGCTCCTTTGTCGTAGAAACTGACCTTTTTTCTTTTATCTCGCTTTTTTTCTGTTCCTCTTGCTTGCCCTTCTGTAACTGAGCCATATTGTTTCTTCTATCCTTGAATGGAATTCACTACCCCTCTGCCATGCCATTCCTTCGTCCTACCCCCCCGCTCTCCATTCGTTGATGCGTGCGTGCCCTTTCTCCAAGGGCATGCCGCCATTTGGAACTGTTTTGACCGAATCTGGACGTGATTAGGATCAGGTGCCGCTGCTGATTAAACGGGCAATGTCGGTATGCCCGAAGACTATAGTAATTTATTTAGTTTTCCCTTCCTTCTCTTCGCTCCACCCAATGTCTCATTTTTCCTCTTCTTCTGCATTTCGCACTAAGCTCGGCCTTTGCTTCATTGGCCCTTCTTGGGCCTTCTCTTTGATCCTTCCGTCCTTTGCGAATTCTGCTCTTTCCTTAATCTTTCCACTCTGTTGTCGGTTTCATTTGTCCGTTTCATGTGTCTGTGCTTCGTCGTCGACTTTTTTTTGTCTGTGCTTCGTCGTCGACTTTTCAAGCTTTTTTCACCCTGTTGAAGCACTCCAAAATTCTCCTCCCCATCGTCGGATGGCGGCGAGGGACTCTAAATGGAAGCCTTTGCCTTATCGCAACGCGGCTGACACTTCTCTTGTCTTCTTCATTTGCAATCTGATCCGTTCATTTGCAATTGAGTGATGATTGTGAATCTATCTTGTCGTTTTGTAGGTTTCTTGGTGCTGCCGTCTTCCCTCTCGGAGGTGTCCTCCCTATTGTTTAGTTGCGTTGCGTTGTGCATCTTATCGTATATATTTTGTGGGCGCCTGCCTTTCTGGGTAGCACCTGTTCGACCTGGTGTTGTTGCTACGTCTCTGGTACGTTCTTTTACACTTCGGGCTCGTCCGGTCTCCTCTGCTGCAGGTTTTCTGTTTGCCACCAGGCTTGGTTGAAAGGTCCTTCTCTTTGCTGTGAACCATCGTTGTCGTGTGGTCCCCATGATGCAGACGACAGCAATCTACAAGGAACGACGACGTTTGGATGCATGCAGATATGCATGCGGAGGGGACTCCTTGCTCCGGCTTTCTGAGCGTAGTGTACCAGGTTAGATAGGTGATGATTTTTTATTTGCCTTGTGTTGGGGTAGTCCCTGACATTAGTATCTTTTTATTTTACCAACAATAATGTGTGTATAACACTCGTCGGCCACCTGGTCGGGGTGGTAGGGTATGATTGGGATTGTTGTTACGATGCTTATTAATGGCAGGCGCTTTCCAAATTTGGCAGGACTCTGCTCTTATATGCATGCAATAAAGAAGAGGGACGTGATGAAGATAAGTGAAAGAAAAACCCCTCTAATGTGCCAAGAGCAAAAAACAACAGAACTGGAAGAGCAGAGGCCTGAAAATATAATTGCCTGCTTTTCTTACAAGAGGATGGACCGTTGGACAGGAGGGCCTACAGCTGTTTTGTCAAACTCTCCTCTGTGTGTGTGTGTGTGTGTGTGTGTGTGAGAGAGAGAGAGAGAGAGAGATGGCAAAATAGAAATGGCAAGTACAGGTCAAAGGAACTGGAGTCAGGCGGAGGAGTTAAAAAAAACTAAAGCACCATTAAAAAGAACTGTGGCAACATGCATGCATATGGGCTTTTTCTTTTGTGTGTGTGTGTGTGTGTGTGTGTGTGCGTGTGTGTGTGTGCGTGTGTGTGTGTGTGTGAGAGAGAGAGAGAGAGAAACGCTTGAGCTTCCAGTCACCTGGAAGTTCAGACTGTATCATCATCGACCGGAGAAAACCGTAGCAGGAAGCTAGCGAAGTCGTAGTATATATCGTCAAATAGAACTGCCCGGTGCTGGCTTGTGATGGGGTGTGAACCGACAGTCTGTAGAGTTTTCCATCTGGTGTGGGTGAGTGATAGTCTACTTTGGATTGCAGTGTAATCAGTGAGGGGATTCTACAGACTGTTGAGGGTTCAGCCTCCTGATGAGTCGGTGAAACTCCGAGGAAACAGCCTGTCACAGCCCCTCGTTTGTTGTCCTCTTCTCCCTCTCTGCCTACGGTTTACCGTCGGCAGTTCTATTTGACGATATATATATATATATTCTATTTGACGATATATATATATGATATTTTTGTGACAATATATATATGGGATGTCTGGCGTGCAGTCGTTGAGGCTTTATGGTCTTAGACTTCGTTCTCTGCTGATTGTCTGCACCGACGCATTCATTATTGGAGACTCGGCGGAGGTTTCAGCATATAGTCAGATTTGCCTTTAACATTACTGTGTAAGCGCCCCAGATAAGGCATCCGCCTCCACAGAGGGGGGGAGAGAGAGAGAGAGAGAGAGAGAGAGAGAGAGAGAGAGAGAGAGAGAGAGAGAGAGAGTTTTATTTGTGTTACTCCCAGCTATGGGAGGAGTGCTCAGTGCTCTCAGTGGTTGACACACACACACACACACACACACACACAGAGAGAGAGAGAGAGAGAGAGAGAGAGAGAATTTGTAAGCCGCCTTGCAGTCTACTGATGGAGGGGGAGTGCTCAGTGCTCCCCGGTGGTTGAGGGCAAGAAATCAGAATGTGGAGGGACGCAGTTGAAAAGGCAGTTAGTGGCTTTATCCTGATTGAGAATACCGTTTCAGATGGGATGCAGACTGAAGAGATTCTACTCTCTTCTGTTTGGGCTCATCGCGGGGGGGGGGCGCCGCAGGGGGTGGGGACTATCTGTCGAGGTCAAACGCAGCATCAGAGGCCCGTATTTGTTCAAGACCGGCCAGTTGAGTCTATATACCGTTGAGAAAGGCATCACACGTGGATCATGGGCCGGTATTTGTGCAAAACTTGTCTTCTCCCCAACACAACGCACCCTTATTTTGGCTGTCTCTGGCCGGAAATATACCTTGTATACATTCATTTTAAGGCTGCGTTATGTTCGGGGTAAGACGGTAGCAAAGCTTAGTCTATACCATGGAGAAGGGCACCACATGTTCACTGTAGGCCTGGATGTAGATTCTCCGGAGTCTCGGAAGCCTGGAACTTGTTGTATCACTGGGTTCTTTGCTATGTTCTTTCTTCCTTTCTTTCTTGTAGTTTTATCCTCATCCGTCATTTCGTTCGTTACCCCCAAAGCGCTTCGCTTCGTATATTGCCTGGTTTTGGGGTGCGGTTTTGGCGATTGGTGCTGGATGGAGGTTGTGGAGACGACTGCTTCCTTTTTCTTTTTCTTTTTGTTTTTGAAGAAAAGAATACAGCTGTTTTCTCCTCATATGGGGGGCAGTTGTATGTTGTTTACGTAGTCTGTTTTCTTCTCTCTTTTTACCTCGCACTAGCTACCGATATCTGTGTCCTAACCACAAGCCCTACAAGGGAGATAATGGGTCAGACCTATTCAGGAAGAGCAGCTACTCTATCCCAGACAAGCAAGGGGTACAAGAGTCTATTCGCACATCAAGGGGAACCCGGATCTAAAACTTACGCACCAGTACATGGGCACCTGGGCCGCGGGCTTGACAGCTCAAATTCTGGAGGCACGAAACAAAACCGCGACCCCCGACCTAATTTATCAACGGCGGGCGTGGCCTCGTTCTCTTTGTGGCGACAAGTTTCGGACTGCAAGGCTGGGGCCGTGCACTGGTGGTTTAAGAATCTACAGCAAGGATCTAAGGCTAGGGTCGAAGGCCACCTTAAATTACAAACGAGGACTAACCTATCCTTAAGGTTATGGGCCTGCATCTACCTATCTCTGCTCTGTGCGGGGAGCAGTACCCCAGCTCCGAACACCTGGTGCGGGGTGGAAAGAATCGCTTCCACAACCAGCCAGGACGGCCAAGCCAACAATCTCCGCTGGTGAACCCGAAGCATCCTCCAGGAGAGGATGACGTTGGGTATCGAACCAACAACTTCCTGAGTGCCACTTGTGTGCTCCACCAACTGAGCTAGCCCAAGCCAACGATCTCGGCTGATGAGCCCGAAAAGCATCCCCCAGGAGGTTGCGGGGATCGAAAGGATGACGTTCGGTATTGAACCCACAACCTCCTGAGTCCCACTTATGTGCTCCACCAACTGAGGTAGCTCAAGCGAACAATCTCCGCTGATGAACCCGAAGCATCCCCCAGGAGGTTGCGGGGATCGAAAGGATGACGTTGGGTATCGAACCCACAACCTCCTGAGTGCCACTTATGTGCTCCACCAATTGAGCCGAACCCACAACCTTCTGAGTGCCACTTATGTGCTCCACCAATTGAGCTAGCGCAAGCGAACAATCTCCGCTGATGAACCCGAAGCATCCCCCAGGAGGTTGCGGGAATCGAAAGGACGACATTGGGTATCGAACCCACGACCTCCTGAGTGCAACTTATGTGCTTCACCAACTGAGCTACAGCCCGGTCGGGCGGGGAGGTGATTGCTTCCCTTTTTAGTGGTTTGTCATTTTCTTTCGCTGTGCGCTCACTCCTTGTCCCACGAAGTCTCTACTGTCGTTGTTTCTCTCGTAGTTTGTTATTGTTTTGCGGAGACATCACACACAGCCTTGTCCCACAAATCGTGAAGTCTGTGTTGTGTGGTCTTCTGGCTGGTTTACCATATATAGACAGCATTGATTTAAATCTGACAGTACCATACCATAAGCAAAAGGTTACAAAAAAGAAAAAAGAAAAAAAAAAACAAATGGTATTACTGCCCAAGCAAATAAACTCAACATAAATGTAATGCATACCACACACGTGTATAGCTCACAGCCTTGGCCAGGGGCAGGATTGAGATGGTGTGGCAGAGTTGCAGCTGGCCTGGAATCGAGATCTGTGACCTGGGCGCACTCAATAATTCGTTGCATCATAGCAGAGGCTGCTACATTATTAGAAGACTGTGGCATGTACAACCACGATTTCGAAAACGTGAAGTCCAAATATCCAATATTAAATCAAGACTTCCCCAAGGCGGGGGTTGTCTCTACGTCGTACAATGAAATCTACTAACTATAAAGTCTGTGTTGCAGTGCGTTCTCAGTTCCCAATTTGGCTTGAGCAAACCCCTGCTCGTCATCATCGAGGGACGGAACACATGGCGAGGGTTGTCGTGTTCATGTGTGTGTGTGGGGGGGGGGGGCGGCGGACTAGTAGTGTTAATCGACCCCCGACCCCTGAGATTCAGATCGGGAGAGGGGAAAAGGAGATGGAGGGGATAGGTTTGTGAGTCGGAACTTGTGTGCGGTTGCGGTTTGGTGCCTTAAGATGAGCTCTGCACTGACTGTTCATACATTACCTGATGCACGTCGTCTGGGTTGCCTTTCCTTTTTTTTTTTTTTTTTTTTTTTGACGCCCCTGCCAGTGTCAGTGATGCTGATAAGAGCAGACACCACTAGGACCTGGGGAGAGGCTCCGTCTATTGGTTGGGAGTGGAGCCTGCCATGACAGTTAGCATGGCTTGTGGGCCTGGTTCAAAAGATTCCGCAATACGGCTGGACAGATTTGGCTTTATGTGCCCAGCCTGGAGATTTTAAAGTGGGAAATGGTTTGTTGTGCTCCCTTTGTGCTGCTGATCGCTGGCACTGCAGAGGCCATGGATACTCGGATGTGGGGATATGCTAGGCCCAGGGGGCGGGGGTGGTTTATCACAGCCCTGTCTGTCTCGTGGGTTTGGGAGATGCGGGTCACGTCAACATTCATTAACCGGTAGCGGGAATACATGGAGGGGCGGAACTGGAAAGTCCGTCGGAGGAGGGGTTTGGCAGTTGGTGTTAGACCCACCAGTACCTCCAATGCACTTTTCTCCGACCCTGGGGATGCCATCCGTGCCCAAAATGAAACGGCGCGGGGCGTTGATGAAAATTGTCATCGGCCTCGAAGGTCCTGAAAATCGTGGCGGGTGTATGACAAGGGCCGGCAACCGATGTACGCAGCCCAAGTATTGGTGGTTTAAGGAGTCACTGCAGTGTGTTCCGGGATGACGAAAAAATAATCTTTGTACGACTGTTATTCTCGGGTCTCATTCTTCGAGTCTCCAGCACCCCCACACAAAAGGCTTCCTCCTCTGGGTTGGAGGACGCTTCACACTGCGTTGAAACTGAAAAAGTAATGATGAAGCAGCTTGGTGGTAGTAGTTGGTGTCTTATTGAGTTCAATAGACATCGAGCCATCAGATGTCTCTGCTGTTGACTGTTTTTTTTCCTTCGGCGACTCCCTGCATGCGTAAAGGAACATCGACAGCCGTCAGATGTCTCTGGTGTCTTATTGGTGGGCTCAGGAAGATGGAGGGTGGGGTGTTTTTGCGATTGGGTAGCAGTAGATCCAACATCGAATCTTGGCGAATCGGTCACAGGAATGTTGTACAGTGA